CTCAGATCTATCGCAAACCTGAGGAAACTGATCGCGTTTTGAAAAGTGGAAGGAAGAATTTCGGTAATCAAGCGATGTTTGTTCGAATAAACCAGTACAACTTTGGGGTCTTGACAGTCAGGGAGCTAGGCAAATTGATAAACAAACCATCGCAGAAATTCGGCGTTATGGCCAAAATATATTAGAAATTCACTTGAGATGCCACATGCGACAAGAGATTTGCGTCCAAATTTTTATCAGGTAATACGGTTTTAATCAATGAGACGACCGTGAAGGCAATGCTAAATATATTCGAGCATGGGAATCAGATGCTTGGCGCTCTGCTCGTTGATGCGACAATGTACGTGTTTCTATGGCCTTGTAAGCAGCACCAGGAGTAAAATGCACACTGGGACTAAAACCCAATGAAATCAATCAACCAGAAAGATCAGAAACGGTTCTACGTGACCATGACGGAGATGAGGATAGGTGGCTCGAGTCGGATCAGCCGATTGAAAGAGAGGAGGCCAGGGTGAATAACAGGCGCGATGAGGTCACACTTAACTTGCCAAAATGGGCACACCTTTTGACAAGTTGGATAAGAGGGTAAGCAGTGGATAGATGGGCCTGGACAGAAAGAGCAATGATATTGTAACCGTTTCGGCAGAACATTAGTCGGGGGATTGACTTCCCTTGTCCCTGACGTGTCTGTAGCTTGGCGCAGAAAATGACACTATTCACTGATGATGCCGATTACGATACTGATGAAACGACTGAGAATGTAACAAGTCCACGGCCTAATGCAGAGAATTATGAAAACTATTTTGGAAGAGGACTTCGGACAAGGCGCCTTCAACTAAGTCTCTCTGACCACAAGGCCGAGTTGCGAAAACCAGTTCAACCTGCTTCCAATCTAAGGAAGATATGTTTTACGAATGCTCTTTCTGAAAAGTGTCTTGGCATTATTGTATCAAGCCAAGTTTGTAGGCTGGGGGGCCTTCCGCCTTTGATCGGATTCTTCTGTCTTGCCAAGTCAAAGGAGACGACAGCCGAAGCTTTACTGCGTGAAGATGTACCATTGTACGTTTAGTTTAAGGAAAAGCAAGTTGTGGCTATTCTGGCTGGATTATTGATTTGGAAATGATTCCTCATTTTGACCAATCAATTAGACCAAAGCAATCTTGTGTTCTCAATTAGGTTTCTGGATGGCGGATCAACACCGTCTCTCTCCTTTAATCTATCAATCAAGCATAAGTGATTCCTGTTCAACTTTCTACCACCGTTCCTCACATTCAACGTATTACCCAAGCTATTAATTTAAATAGCCTCTCTTACCTTTCTTTTAACCACAGACGTACCATAATCAGCAAGCCTACTAGGTTGAGAACATTCTATTTCAGGTCCAGTTTCTACCATTATATGTAAGAGAATAAGTCCTTACCTTTTATGGATGTTCTCATCATTATAGAAAAGGGAAGTTAGGAAGAGATGTTTATAGGAAGCCAACATATGTTGGCTCTTTGCTTAATTTTATTTTCAACAATAGTTGTAATTTTGAAGTCAATGTTTCTTAGAAGTATGTAGCTAAGGAACAGCAAATATTTGACTAAAGAGTTGCAACGGCTGACAAATTTATTACTGGAAAATAATTATCCTTTGGGCCTTATTAAGAAGAATATCTCTCTACTGAAGAATAAATTTTCAAACTGAGACCATTTAGTTCAAGAGAGACAGACTGAGACCTTATCTCATGTGCTAATTTAGCCGTAATGCCTTCTCTTAAAAAATATAGGCGAATTAATAAAGAAATGAGGCATAAAAAAGTATTCAAAGAAACCCTCACACTTTCTTCTATTATGCCATCTTTTAGAGAGAAATATGACCAATTATCGAGATCCGGCTACTCCGAAGATTGTTTGCTCATGTGGTCGATGTTATGTTGGTGATACATGCCGACCTATTCGACAAAGATTGAGGGAACACTTATGCTTGATTGATAGAGTGAAGAAGAGATAAGGTGTTGAGCCGCCATCCAAAAGAAAACGACTCAACTTTTATGCTTGATGATGGTTCTAATTTCACTCACACTCGTCCGACATGTTAGATTAAGCTCATCAACCAAACCAGACGTGCCAAATTACGCAGCCCCAGTCATGCCTTTCCTTGAGGGGTTAAACAGTAATGACCCTAGACTGAGAGGTTAAGACAAGTGGTTTCGTAACTTGACTTACATGCATGCAAGTTCCTATTTCATTGGCTCAACCATACTTGCTCACGGACTTACGCAGTCTCGATCCATGCTTTCTCTTGAATAAT